TAGCGAAGAATACAAAAGAGAAAAGAACAACACAAGCATAATGGCTGAAGAAAATATCGACCCAAAGCATTTTGTTCTGGTGCATGGTATTTGCCATGGCGCCTGGTGTTGGTATAAGCTTAAGCCACTATTGGAGTCTTCTGGCCACGAGGTCACAGCTATCAACCTTGCAGCTTCTGGCATCAACACAAATAAAATTGAGGACGTTCATACGTTTTCTGAGTATTCTAAGCCTTTGTTGGATTTCTTGACTTCGCTTGCTCCAAATGAAAAGGTGGTTCTTGTGGGACATAGTTTTGGAGGGTTGAGTATAGCACTTGCTATGGACATTTTTCCTGAAAAAATACAAATGGGAGTTTTTTTAACAGCTTATATGCCTGATACCCAACACAAACCTTCATATGTATCAGAACAGGTATTGTTCTGCGAAAGGCGAACACTTTCCCTTGCTAGATACTTCTTATAGTTACTATCATTTAATTTGTCAATACTCGGATATGAGAATATTGCTTAAATTTGTCAAATGAGAACATTTTTGCGCAATAAAAATCAATAATTAATACATTACATTGGTCTTAATGTTCATTACTAATCTACTTGACCTTTTGATATGGATAGTTCTTTGAGAGATACCCAGTTAAGGAATGGTTAGACTGTGAGCTCTCATCCTGTGGAAGCAAAACGTCGTTGCTTTTTGGTCATAAGTTCTTGTCCACTAAGCTTTATCAACTCTGCTCCGCCGAGGTATTCTTAGTTTCTTCTCTCTCAGCAATCTCATTTCAATCTTAAAGAAATATAATAGATGATATGATTTCATTTTTTTTTATTGTATTAAATTTATTCTTTGCACGATATTAAAGTCTTTGTGATTTATTATTCAAAAAAAAAGTCTGTGATTAAATGATCACAAATTTCATGTTATTATATTAATAAATAATTAAATATTATATAATTTTTTAAAACTGATGAATAAATTTATGTATTATCCATTCTTTAAACTTTTTTAAATTTTTAGGTTGAATATTCTCTCTCTACATATGTATATATATGGAAAATGTTATGTTTACAAACTCTTACAAACTACACTAAATGACCGATCATACTTCAATCAAGAATGTACGATCGGTCATATTTAATGTAGTTTGTAAACGGATATATATATATATATATATATATATATATATATATATATATAGACACACACACACACACAAATGCTTGTAGCCCATTCAAAATCTTTTTGGCGGCTTGGATTTTGCAGGATCTGGAATTGGCCAAGACTTTAATAAGGCCAGGGTTACTTTTTTCTGAAGAGCTGTCTAAGGCAAAGAATTTCTCTGAAGAGGGATATGGGTCTGTTCCACGTGCTTTTATTGTTTGCAATGAGGACTTAGCATATCCGTTGGAGTTTCAGCAATGGACGATCCAAAATGCTGAGGTTGATGAGGTGCGGGAGATCAAAGAAGCAGATCACATGGCTATGCTTTCCAAACCCGAAGAACTGTGTTCATCTCTCCTCGAGTTAGCTAATAAGCATGCTTAACTAAATGCAATGATTCGCTTTTGTCTAATGCATATAAGATTGGCTTAGAAATATTCACGTATGTTTTGATTCTGTTTTAGTTTTATTTTCATTTTATTTTGCTTTACCTATTTAAGGTATGAAGAACCCTATTTTTATTTGATTTTTTTTATTAAATAAAATTCAAAAAAGAGAAATAGTTTTTTCTCGCAATCCTTGTGTTTAATCTTTCTTTCTATTTAGTCAACGGGGTATTGTTTCGGCATCATTTGGTATCTGAGCACTAGGTTTCCTTCAACCAATCGCTGAATAGAACATACATAGAGGTCGTTGATGGCAGAGTCGTGATGGTGAGGGACATGGATTCGATCCTAAAGAAGACAGATAACTGCGTCAAATAGACCCGCAGAAGGCGGGTCCAAGATTTTAAGCAATAACTTGAGCCAGTATTAGACAAGAAAATCCAAGTTTTGGAACGACTACTTGTGCAAAAGCAGAGCAAGAAATCGACAACTCGTGCGAACACATAGCCAAAAATCTAAGTTTTGGAGCGACAGCTTGTAGAAGGGTAAGCATAAAAATCCAATATTTGGAATGACGATTTTCACGAACAAAGTTGGGCATTCAATCCGAATGTCTTCTAATGTCAAGGTTCCTCCCATTGACACTTTTTAACTTGTTAAATAAGATTACCTTTTTAACTACACTGGGAGCATGTGGGCCTCCCATTCAACTGATGGCACTTGGATCAAAAAAATTGTTTTCTCTTTTTTTCGTACAAACATTTTAGAAAATGCAAGTTTTCTTGGCCCACCAATATTTTGTGCACCGGTGTGCTTGGGTATTTCTGTATGCCCAAACTATAAAGTAGAACTATTTGCTTGGATGCACTTACATATTTTAGTAACTTTTCATAAAATTTAGTGTCTTTGTTTTTACGAGCTACAAAAAAAAATAAAAATAAAATAAATCTATATATATATACATGAAAAATATTACTCTCATTTTACATGAGATAGTTATCTCATTTTGTCTCCCTTTGAAAATCGCACTCCTTCTTTTTTCTTTTTCTTTTTGCTTTTTAATAGTGGGCCCCACTTCGATTCTCTCTGTAGCATGAGAGAACTACTCTCATGCAACATGAGAGTAATATTCCATATATATATATATATATATATATATATATATATATATATATATATATGAGATTTACTTTCCTCGAGCCGCTTGACGTCCGGTAAATAAATTCGGGAAATCATATAAAGGTTAATGAAAACATTAAATACGGGAAATCATAATCAATCAACAATGTAAAATCTATTGTTGGACGTCCAATTGCCGAAGAAATAATTTATATATATATATATATAGGATTTGATATTTCTCATATTATAAGAGATAAATTTTATCTCTTACACATACATCAAAATGTATGTGGTCATATGAAGAGAATAGAGAAAAATAAAAAACATAAATCTCACGTACTTTTATATATGTGTAGGAGAGAAATAAAAAACATGATATATTTTTTATTTCTTTCTCTTCTCTTCATATGGCTCCATACACTTTTATCTGTGTAAGAAATAAAATTTGTCTCTTACAATATGAGAAATATCAAATCCAATATATATATATATATATATATATATATATATATAATCATTTCTGTAGCCGCTTTACGTACAACAACGATAGGTGTGTGGTTATGATTCCCTACATTTAATGCTTTAATCATTTGTATGGTTATGATTTTCCGCATTTAATGCTTTCAAGTATATACATGGCAAGTATTTGATTGTCGCACATACAGTAGCTGTAGAAATATAAACCCCATATATATATGAGTTCGTTTTTTCTGCAGTTACTACACATAAATTATCTACAGCCCAATACAACGTTGTTTTAGGGCGGAAATCATGGTATTTTTGTAATTTTAATTTATTTCAGAGTTATCATAGTCTTTACAATTATAATTTTTTAATATTTCAATCCCAAAATGATGTCATTTTGAAAATAAATGCAGATAACTTATATGCAGTAACTGCAGATATATATATATATATATATATATATATATATATATAGTTTTGTAAGAGTTATGTTGTAGGAAAAGTGATTGTGTAATGTTATAAAGATTCGTTTTGTGTGCCGTAATTTTCTTATTTCCTTTTTTCTTCAAGAAGTGTGGGCCCCACCCCACAAAATATTGTGTGTGTAGAAAAGTTTGTTGTATCATGTTAAATGACAAAGGCAAACCTCATATATATAATACTCGCTGGGTTCCATTTGGCACCGTGACAAAAGTATAAGAAATAAATTAACTTGTAGTTATTAATGTTGAAGTTCTAGCTCTTTATCATTTTTTATTGAAAAAGAGGTGAATTTTAAATTATATCACTTACTTTATATGTAAAGTGTAATATTTATTTATAATGAAAATAAAGGTTTAATATTGATCTTTTTAAATGATATAATTTATATTTTGTTAATAGAATAATATTATGTCTTTTTAGTAAGATATAATTATAATATAATTTTTTTTTTTACTTTTTACGTCAGCTAAAATGATTGAAAAAAAATAAAAATAAATTTTTGTTATTATAATTATATTTGATCAGTAAAACTATGTAAGGACACACTTTTCCCCCTTACTAAACGTGATTTTCTCTTTGTTCATGCTAACGCAGTAGGGGTGTTCATCAACCGATCCAAACCGATTTAAACCGCGATAACCGAACCGAAAATCGAACAAACCGAAAACCGAAAAATTGAAAAAAAAAAAAACCGTAACTTTTAATTGGATTGGATCGGTTTTCAGATTGCATAATGAAAATCGATATAATCCAAACCGATCCAATATATTAATTCTCCTTTACTTACTTTGGTCTTTCTCCAATCATAATCCAAAAATTTATAAATCCAAGACCCATTAACCCATCAACTAAACCCAAGAAAAAATTTAGTCACATCTCATCAACAAAATTTTATCTGCGTAGAGCTTCATATCTCATTGTCCTCCAAAAAAATCTATATTATCGTTTACTGATGCTTTTGTATTTTAATTTTTTTTTACAAAGCCAATATATATACAAAAGATGTTATCTACGTGAAATAAATCTTAGAATTTTCAAAAAACTGAAAATCGATCCAATCCAAACCGAAAAAAATTAGATTGGATCGGATCGAATTTGAAAAAAAGTCCAAACCGAATGGATAATTACATGATAAAACCGAAGAAATTGAATCAAATAATTTTTACTTTCAAAACCAATCCAATCCAGACTGCAAACACCACGTAACACAGCCATTAGAAGTAGTAACTAGAAAAGAATAAAATTTCCTTGTAAAGTGTACGCGTTTGAAGGGAATAAACTAAAAAGACCAAGCATTCCTCGTCAACGTCAACGAGAAATTTATATTTTTGGTGATCGTACGTAGGTAGCACTGTAGCAGCAACTTGCTATTCTCAGAACTTGTTCTCCTTGGCTGTTTTACTCATAACATTTCATTTCTCAGAACAGAACGAAGTGCTACCTTCCTTTGGTTGAATTGAAATTCAGAGAGAAAGTTTTTGATTTCAGGTAGCTGAAGGTGGTAGTTATGGATCTGTTAAGTGGAGGTGCTGTTGGAGCTGTGATGGGAGAGATGCTGAAAGCGGCTCTTGAAGCCATCAAGAAGGGTCGAGAGTTCGGACCCACCCTTGAAAGCAACATAGAAACGTTGAACTCTCTGACTCCACTCGTGGAAGAGATGAAACAATACAGCAAGTTGTTGGATCACCCCATAGAAGAGATAGTAAAGCTTGAAACTCAAATACGAGCTGGTGAAGAGCTTGTTCAGAAGTGTTCCAAATTGAGTCGCTGGAGATTTCTTTCCTTCCCCCATAACCAGAGTATGCTTAAGGCCAAGGATGAGTCCCTGAAGAGGCGCTTTTCTTTTTTCGTGCAAAAAGAGAATACAAAGAACTTGATGGAGATCCTGACCAAGGTGGGAACGATTCTCGAGATTCTGCTAAGTAAAGATAATTTCGGGGAATATCAGATAAGGGGTCTAAGCGGGGCTCCTGAAGAACCACAATGTATTGGAATGGATGAGCCTTTGAACAAGTTGAAGATTGAGCTGCTCAAGGATGGTGTATCGGTCCTTTTGTTAACTGGTTTGGGTGGATCAGGCAAAAGCACACTGGCTAAAAAACTCTGTTGGGATCCACAAATCAAAGGTTATTGCTGCTTCAAATGCTCTATACTTTTCATTCTCTCACTTGGCCAAGAGCTTAAGAATCTCTGTTGGGATCAATAAAAGATGTTTGATTCGTTTAGTTTTTTCATTTAATAGCTGTAGAATTCTTTTTTATTCCTTTTATATAGTTAAATAGTAAAATATACCAGATTATATCCAAGCATATAGACATATCAGTTGCAGAGTTTAAACTTTCTTTTAGAGTGACTTCAGGCAAAGCTTAAGCTTGCTGCTCCCAATTCCCTTTCCCCTCTGTCTCATCATATGATAAGTTCATTATTCATTAGTCATTTCATTTTATTTTATTTTTTTGGAGAGTAAAATACAAACTATTTATGCATGCATTTTAGTTCATATAATATATTAATCATGTAAACTATTACTTTCCTCGTCACTAACTCGTATAGATTAGTCATATATGGCATACATTTGGAATAGTATAAAACCTCAAATTCCCCTTGCTTTGACTAGGCAAGTTTGGGGGAAATATCTTCTTTGTCACCGTCTCAGAAACGCCAAACTTGAAGACCATTGTACAGACACTATTTGAACACTGTGGATGTCGTGTGTCTGAGTTTCAAAGCGATGAGGATGCAACTAACCGATTGGGACTTCTGCTGAGGCTTGTTACAAAAAATCCAACATTGCTGGTCTTGGATGATGTTTCATCAGAAACCATTGTTGAGAAGTTCAAATTCAAGTTGTCAGATTATAAGATTTTGGTGACTTCAAGGGTTGCATTCCAAAGATTTGGCACCCCATGCCAGTTGGATCCACTTGGTCATGATCATGCAGTATCCCTTTTCCATCGCTTTGTTCCACGGAATGACCACAGCTCATACATGCCTGATGAAAATCTTGTCCATGAGGTACTTTCTCTTTTACTTCTCCAAAATTATTCACACCAATGAGACATGATTAGATGTGACAAGACAGAAATTCATGTTTGTTTGTCATGTTAATTCTTCTGCCTTGGCATGTAAATAAATTATCATTGGTTTGGCATATAACATACTTGCAACCTAGTTACCCAAGACCTTTATAAGCTTAAGCTATTGGATGAGGCTACATTAATGGTTTTATATATCTCAACATAATCACTGGTTTTACTTTCTTGCTCTCAATTGCAGATAGTGAGAGGTTGTAAAGGTTCACCATTGGCGGTTGAAGTCATTGCTGGATCACTCTGTCAGCAGCCTTTTGAGGTCTGGAAAGATATGAAGGAACGTTTACAAAATCAATCCATTCTGGAGTCTGGTAGTACTGACTTATATTATCGCCTTCAACAAAGTTTAGATACATTGAAGGATAAGTTCTCCATCAACGAGAAAGAGTGTTTCATGGATCTTGGGCTATTTCCTGAAGATCAAAGAATTCCTGTTACAGCCCTTATTGATATGTGGACAGAACTGCATAACCTAGATGAAGATGGTTGGAATGCAATGACCATTGTCCATGATTTATCCACAAGGAATTTGATTAAGGTTATAGTTACAAGGTACATGTCATCTTTTTTTTCATTCTCCTTGTTGGCCATTTAATGATTCAATTAATTGTAGGCAGTCAAAAGACTCAAAACATCTGCTTGCGATAATATGGCTTCAAATAGGGGTCTAATTAAGGGAACCTAGATCACTTAAAATCTTAACCTGGCTCCTGAAAAATGAGGGTACTCGAGGTTGGTTCATATAATTAAATGAGATAAATTAAATGAGCTCGGCTTATTTTTGGTAATGGCTGGTGTAGTTTATTTATGACTTGATTACTTTCTTTTCCTCTATCAAATCTCTTGAAGTATTTTTTTTTTTTTCAAGTTTGTGATTTAATATTTGAGAGACACTTTATGCTAGAAAATGAAATAAAAATGCTTTTCTTACTCATAATTCGTTACATGAAAATTTATGAACTTATGCCATTAACCAAAAAAGAAAGAAAAAAGAAAAGCAAACTCTTAACACTTTAAAAAAGTGTAACATATTTTCACAATGAACAATTTTCACAATGAACAATTTTCACAATGAACAATTTCAACATGGTTGAAAAACTTAATATATGCATAAGATGATGTTAACATATATGCCTAAGATTGATTATACCTTTTTTATCATCTAAAATTACAATATTTTTGTAATTGATTTTTCACTATTTATGCAGGAGTTTATTTATATATGTTCTTAAACTAGGGGTTTGAAATCAGTTTAGGAAGTATGTGATTTGACATGCATTCCTTCATGACAATTGATTTAAACAATCTATAAATCAAGAAGTGAAGAATCATTGGATATCTGTAACCTTTCTGCTTGTCATAATGTAGCAAGGATGTAAAACTATACTATCAAATGGAGTAAATTATTCATCTTGTTGGTAGTTTGGTTCTTCCCTAGGTATCTAATTTCTGCTGGTTGTCCAGGAAAGTTGCAAAGGACGAAGACATGTACTACAATAACCACTTTGTCATGCTGCATGATCTCCTCAGAGAGCTAGCGATCCATCTAAACAAAAGGGAACCATTTGAACAGAGAAAAAGGCTAATTATTGACTTAAATGGAGATAATCGCCCTAATTGGTGGGTGAGACAGAATCAGCAAGGAATCATTGGCAGTGTGTTTTCATTCATGTCAAGAATGTTGATAAAACAGGAACGGCTAAAGGTTGCTGCCCGCATATTGTCTATATCAACTGGTATATTTCTCTTTGTTTCAATTATATGCACACACACACACACACACGAGTGAAAAATGCTAATAAGACATACTCCGGCTCTGTTTTATACAGTATCTTCCATCTTGATGCCATATATAATGCTTTTGCAGATGAAACTTTTAATTCGGATTGGTGTGACATGCAACCTGATGAAGCTGAAGCTCTGGTTTTAAATATTAGCTCTAGCCAGTACAACTTACCTGAGTTCATAGATAAAATGAGTAAACTTAAAGTTCTGATAGTCACAAATTATGGTTTCCATCCTACAGAATTGAACAAGTTTGAGCTACTTGGTTTTTTATCTAACTTGAAAAGAATCAGATTGGAGAAGGTTTCAGTTCCTTGCCTGTGCATATTGGAGAATCTGCGAAAATTGTCCTTTCGTATGTGTAATACAAGGCAGGCTTTTGAAAGCCATTCTATCCAAATTTCAGATGCTATGCCAAAGCTAGTGGAGATGAGCATTGATTATTGCAATGATCTTGTTAAATTGCCTGATGGGCTTTGTAACATTAAACCATTGAAGAAGCTTAGTATCACTAATTGTCACAAGCTTTCTGCACTGCCACAAGAAATTGCAAAGCTTGAGAATTTGGAAGTGCTAAGGCTTTGTTCCTGCTCTGATTTGGTAGAGATGCCAGGCTCTGTTGGAGGGCTTAATAAGCTGTGCTGTTTTGACATCTCAGACTGTGTAAACCTTAGCAAATTACCAGATGACATAGGTGACTTGCAAAAGCTTGAGAAGCTCTACATGAAGGGTTGCTCAAAACTGAATGAATTGCCATACTCCATCATCAAATTTGGACATTTAAAGCATAAAATACAAGTGATCTGTGACGAAGAAATAAGGAAACAATTCCCCAGCATTCCCAATTTAATAATTGAGATGCCTAAAGTAGATGTTAGCTTAGATTGGCTTCATGGAGTTTGTAGCTAAGACTTGTTTCCTGAAGGAGATAAAGTGGCTTGGAATCTAATAGGGCTATGACAAGTGGGCCTAGAGTTAGTTAGAGGAGAGAGAAATAGTCTACGAAATTGGTGAAGGGTGGAATATATAGTGCGTAGGAATGTGGGGTGTTTTTATATTGAGAATTTCATGTAAACAGTGGGGTGGGGGAATTGGGAGGAGTGGTCCTTAGGGTAGTGCTATTTGACATTCCTGTAAGGCTGTTCACAGCCATTAGTGTCTTTTGTTCCTGTGTTTTACATTGCTGTAAGGCCGATCTCAGCCATTAGTAACATTTTAATTCTGTACCTGGTGATCATAAGAAGCTGAGTCTCCAGCGTTTTCATTAATTCAGTAGCATTTTAATTTTGTGTTCCATCAGAATCATGTTGAAATCTGTAAACAATGTTGATGTTGCTCCGCCTATCTGTTTGTTCTCTGTATAGAGCGGCTTGCTCATCTTATTCAAGTGGCTGTGCAATAGAAGGATTGGCATCCTATCAGGCTAAGGAGAGATAGGCCTCTATTAACTCACCTCATTTTTGCATATGACGTATTATTGTTCTCTGAAGCCTCTACTGATAAAGCAGGTATCATTCGTTCTTTTCTAGATTACTTTTGTAATGCCTCTGGTCAGTCCGTGAGTCAGGAAAAAACCAGGGTTTTTTCTCTAAGAATGTTAATTTTAATAGAACTAGGTAAATCATTCAAGTCTTGGGGTTTGGAGTGACAAATGATCTTAGCAAATATTTGGGTATCCCCCTCCACCATGGTAGAGTCAAGAGAGGTTCTTTTAGTAATATTATGAATCGTTTTCACAGCCGGCTCAATTCTTGGAATGCTTCTGCTCTCTCCATGAGTAGTAGAGTCACCTTTGCTAAGGCTGTTCTTACTGCCTTGCCTTCTTACACCATGCAATCTTCTGATCTTCCTCTCTCGGTATGTGATTAGATGGAAAAGGGAACCCGTAATTTCATCTGGGGATCATCTTCTGAGAAAAGGAAGGTTCACCTTTCTAACTAGGAGAATCTTTGTAAACCCTTTGCGAAAGGTGGGCTAGGCATGAAGCATTTGAGGTCTATGAACAAAGCTTTATGATGAAAATTGGCCATGGCATGTTGACGGAGAGGAATGCCCTTTGGGTGCAAGTTCTTCGAAATAGATATAGAGTGGGGGAGGATCTCATTCCGGAGGTTAAAAGGAGGAAGAACTCTACGAATCTTTGGAAAGATGTAACTAAGTTTTGGCCGGATCTTCTTAAAGGTTCAAGAATTCAAATTGGGAATGGGAGAAACACACGCTTCAAGTTAGATAACTGGGTTCCCAACTGCAATACTCTTAATGTGGCCTCCATTCCTATTCCTGAATCTGAGCTCTATAAAAAAGTGGGATACTTTATTGCTCAATATGGTTCCTGGAATTGGAAAATTTTGAGTTGTTTTCTTCCTACAAATACATTATCTTGGATGGCTGGGATCGTTCCTCCTTTGCCGAAAGATGGAGTTATTTGGGAGGTGGCTCGGGATGGTGCCTTCTCTGTCAAAACTGCTTACAAGCTCCTAAACTTGAGTCCTAGTTCCCCTTCCCAGTATAACTGGTCCCTAGTCTGGGACTCGGAGAGGCCCCAACGTATCAGAGATTTTCTCTGGCTCCTTATGGGTTAAAAGCTTCTTACCAATGTCGAAAGAAACAAGAGAGATTTGGCGGACTTAAGCTGCTGCCATCGATGCTTCTTTCACACAGAAGATTATTTGCATATCTTTGGGGATTGTAGGTGGACAAAAGAACTCTGGCTGAAACTGATTGGTCGTGATCAAGCTAATCGTTTCTTCAATACCTCGTTCTTGGACTGGTTGGGTCTCAATTTGTATAAGAGAAATGACACAACTCAACCCTCTAGGTGGAACATCCTATTTGGAGTTAGTTGTTGGCTCATTTGGCATAATAGAAACAGGTTTGTTTTCGAAGTCCATAGCAAACCTCAGAAAAGTCTAATTGCTCGAGCTAGATGTTTTGCTGAAAACATTCTAGTTGTTGAGAGGACCCTATCTTGTGCAGGAGTTACCCCGAATTTGGAAACAATATATCTATGTGAAATGGCAATTTCCCCAAGTTGATTGGACCAAACTCAATGCAGATGGTTCTTGCAAGTGGGATTCTAGACTGATGGGATATGGAGGAGTGCTGAGAGGTTGTAGTGGTAGACTGGTAGATGTCTGTCAGGTTTCTCCAAAAATTTAGGAAGAGGCAACTCCCTTCTAGCTGAACTTTGGGGTGCGTTTATTGGTTTAGACCAAGCCTGGAAGTGCAGTTATAGATCTATTTGGCTCGAAAGTGATTCCACCACTTTGGTTAAGCTTCTGATATATGATTGTGACTCTCACAAGCCTTGCGCTAAACTGGTCCCGAGAATTCAATCTATTATCAGTCGTCCTTGGAATGTCAGGATCTCCCATATCCACATCGAAGCAAACAGAGTTACGGGCTGGTTAGCGAATCTGTCTCTTGCCCGAAGCTGGGACACGATTACCTTTGAGAATCCCCGTGACTGCAACTCCCTTGTGCAGCGGGACTTCATGGGAGTTTCTACTTCCAAATTAGTTAACTATTAGTTGTTCTTTTGTTTTCCTTTTTGTTCAAAAATAAATAAATAACCATCTGGTGGTGCCTTATACTTTGGAATAAATCTTTGGTGCTACTATTGCACCAAAAATTCAGTACATCCTATCAATAAAAATATTACATGTCAGCTAAAGTTTTTTTTTTCTGCCAAATTTTCTCTCTCTCCTATGATGTGTAATGCTCTCATTGGATGCACTGAATCTTGATGTAACAGGAGTACCAAAAATTTATTCTATGCCTTGACATTTAAAAAAGTAAAAGACAGTTGAATTAATTCCATTTTGGTATATAGGAATTGATTAGGCTTTACTTTAATGACAGGTCTTACTTGCTGAACAAGGTTTAATTGAAACCCAATTTTTTTTGGTAAAAACACATTTAGTAATTTATTTAAAAGTTGTTGTATTTGTTTTTTAGCAACAAAAAAATAAAATAAATAAATAAATATATATATATATATATATATATATATATATATAGGATCCAATTTTTTGACTCTTTGGCCCTTTATTAATTAAAAAATAACCATTTTGACTCTGTCCCCAAATTATACGTCAATATGTCTCTGTTTAATCAATTACATGAATTATGTAATTGATTATTTCGTGACCATAAATAAAATATAGGTTTCTTCATTGATGTAATCGATTAAATATCAATTTGTAATCGATTACATAGAAGGAAAAACAAAAACTTTCTGTTAGTTCATGTAATCCCAAGGAGAACAAGAAAATATTTGCTCCCTCTATCTTATTTAGAAATACGTAGAGGGAAGCCACTAGGTTTAGTCTACTTGGTGAGGGGGTTCGGGTAGGTTGTATTAGATTATGTGTTCAATTCTCACTTGTATATAAAAAAACAAATAGAGGGATTTGATTATTTGGTGCCTTACTCTTTCTAACTTTCCTTAGCATTAGGATTTCTCTCTCACTTTCTCTGTTTTTATCTCTGCCATGGTTATAGTTTCTCCAAAGCAAAAAGATGAAGTAAGCATCTTCTTCAGTATAGTGGTTCCCAATTTTTCAATTTTTAATTTTATTCTTCTCCTAGAAAAGATCACAAAACCTAATCGAACCTTCTCTCTTATCATATTTTCAAATTCATGGAGATCGTTCCCTGTTCCTTCCATTATTGATATAGATTAGATTCACAGCGGCACTCACTTCCCCTCATCACGTTCAGATTTTGCTTTGACATTTGATCCAGGAATCTAGCTAGGGTTTAATCTTTTGCTTCTTAATTCGATGCTTCAAACTATGTTCATATTGTTTGTTTTGTCTTTTCCCACACTTTCGCGGCAACCAAACACCATAATAGGGGTCCATTTTCAAATTATGTTAGCACCATCGTCGCAGGAATCAATTTTCTGTGATCAGGCTCTAGTATGTTCATTCTCGTTTTTTTATTTACCACGAAAGTCTTTTGATACTATGCACTCTAAAGGGGCATTTGGTTGAGGAGAAATTTTATGAATAATAGGAAAATGTTATACATAGGAAAATGGTTGGAAAGTGAGATAGGTAGAAAAATGTAAAAAAAAGTTGTTTGGTTGGAAAAAAATTTACCGGGAAAATTAGGTAACTTTTATGAAATCTATTTTTGGTTGTAGGTAAAATATAGATGGGAAAACAAGTTAGTTTTATGAAAATAACCCTGTTTTTAAGGTACATAGAAGCTGCTGGATTACATATTTATTCGTACACATCGTACTACGCTAACTGCCATTTTGCCATTTGTAACATAGTTCACGACGACAAGAACCACAAACATTTTACATATCGATCTTTTTTCAAGCATCATTTATCCTTCATCATCAAGCATTCACAACGGTTCCACCTGACAAGGAAAAAAAAATTGTTATAAAACCCATATAACGATCACCTTCTGATTCTAGTGTAAAAAAACAACTTAGAAGCATAAAAGTATCATTTTATCACCGTTGGGGTGGAGAACTTGGCCAGTTATGTAAGAGGAGCATTGGTTGCAGGTAAGAAACACATAGGAAGGAGCAACCTCAATAGGCTGGCCAGCTCTCTTCATTGGCACATTGGCCCTGTTCTTACTAGTGACATCCATGACATCATTATGTACAACGTTGGACCTCTTATTGCTGGTGCTTTGGTTGGTCTGATGTATGGCCAAGTCTTTATGCACATGTGATATTTTCACTTTCGCGCGCTAATAGAAGGGTAGGCTCGTCATATGATTCTTGCCCATTGTGATGATTTAGCTAGATAACATGAAATACCATATGTCAAATGGGAAAATTTAGTTGGCTATTTTCATCAGATAGACATGCAAATGGTTAAGCTGGCTTTTCTGTTTAGGTAGGCATATCTTCAAAACTCTTTAACCAAACAGGGGCACTCAATATTCCCACTTCTCAAATGGCTATGCATCTCAAAAAAATCCTCCAACCAAACACACCCCAAGCGTTATGTTGACTCAAGCATTGAATTTTTTTTTTTCCTTCTATGTAATCGACTACAAATCAACTTATCAACGAAGAAACCTATATTTTATTTCTGGTTGCGAAATAATCAATTAAACAAAGGCAAATTAATATATAGTTTTGGGACGAGGGCAAAATAATAATTTTTTAATTAATAAGAGACAAAAGAGTAAAAAAAAAAAATCCCATAAGATCGTTATATATATATATATGTATATATAATTAATGTGACAATTTTATACAAAATAAATTAACTTTTAGTTATTATTGTTAAAGTTCTTAGCTCCTTATCATTTTTTGTTGGAAAAAAGGTGAATTTTAAATTATATCACTTACTTTTTATGTAAAGTGTAATATTTATTTATCATTTAAACAATGTGATTTACTCTTTATTGTTGCGAACACAACAAGTATACCGGTCGTACAAGTAATAAAGTGATTAAGTAAGAGTATCGTTCCCACGAGGACTAAATTTAAGCAATATTTTCACCGCTTTTATCTAAGTTAGACAACTCCAAAAGGTGTTTTCAAAGGTAACCAAGATTTAATTAAGAATTCAAAGAAAGATAACAGTAAAAGAAATTAATTAAAAAGCTAATAAGAATAAGAATTGAGTTTAAAATCAAGAATAAAAACTGTAGTCAGGATGCACTTCACCTCTGATCCTCCCTTATATTCCTATATTGTATTTTATAATTAACTAATTTGTTTGCTCAGACAATTCATTATTTCCCTATAAATTAGTTGAACCCTAATGTCTTAGTGATTTCAACCCTTTAACATTAGAATCCTAGTGTCCTAGTAATCCTTCTTAAATTAAGCTTTAAGCAAATGAATTATAAGTCTGCAATCTATATAAGCCTATGTCTAGGTCATGCACAAATTGTTATTCTACCCTTGTCCAGATTAAAACCCCAATATGTCTATTGTGAGTCATAACCCTCAAAGCCCTATAATTTAGAGTGGCCAATTCTAAACAGGATATGAAAAAATTAACACAGGTAGAATAAAACAAACTAACTAATTAAATTGGCTTTTTGACCCTTATAACCTTTTATTAATAATTAATTACCAAATTGACCTTCATTATAAACTATTTCAAAAATTTAACCTCCTTAAAAAACATAACACCAATCTGCCAATGTTTGACCGTTGACCACCAAACCTACCCGGGTATACTCCTCCCTACCCGGGTATTTTTTGAAAATTTATGCCTACCCGAGTAGAGAGGAGTGTACCCGGGTAAATTTCTTGACATCTGGAAAATTGTTTGAATTATTTACCCGGGTACGTGGGGTGTACCTGGGTAAACTATGTTATATAAGAATCTGAGAAAAATAAATACAGCAACAATTAATAATCAGGATAGGTAGTTGATCAATTTGAGTGGTTGATGATTTTCCTATTCCCAGCTCTGTGTTCCGTCCCTCCACTTTTTGCTTCAACTCCTCCTTATATGCATCTTCTTTTTTCTCGCTGGATTCTTTGGTTCCAGTCTCTTCTTTCACTCTCAGGTTTTCCTTCTCAATCATAATTACATTCTTCAATATTTTAAGCTTGTTTTTCTTAGATTTTGTTTTGTTTTGTTGGAAAAATATTCGAAGTAAGAGATCGCTGAGAATTTGCAGGAAGATGAATATGATCTGAGCTTGAGGCCGAGGATGAAGGCGAGTTTGCTTGAAAAATCGATGAAGGAAGAAGACGGAGTACCGTTTGTGATTTCTTTTCCGGTTTGACATAATGCAATGTTTATGAAATTAGTTGGTTGGATAATTGATTTCAGTGAATTTACTATGTTAATATTTTGATTTCATAGCCGTTTATGAAAAGGATCACAATGCTCAAATATATTATTTCATTGTTTTTAGATAGGATCAGTGTTAAGCAATTTTTTCAAAATAATTCAAGCAATTTATTATTTACCCGGGTACACCCCTACCTACCCGGGTAAATAATTCAAACAATTTTTCCGATATCAAGAAATATACCCGGGTACACTCCTCCCTACCCGGGTAGGCAAAATTTTTCAAAAAATACTCGGGTAGGGAGGAGTGTACCCGGGTAGGCTTGGTGGTCAACGGTCAAACAGGGGCAGATCGGTGTTATGTTTTGTGAAGAGGTTAAATTTTTGAAATAGTTTATAATGAAGGTCAATTTGGTAATTAATTATTAATAAAAGGTTACAAGAGTAAAAAAGCCAATTAAATTATAAAAATAATATAGAAAATATAAAGGATTCACATTGGGTCTGTGATCCCAACTACAAAAAGAAATTAGTCAGACATGTTCATGTCTGACTTAAACAAATAAAAATAAGAAAAATTTGTTCATGAAAGAAAAAGAAAAGAAGAAGAAGAAAGAAGCTCAATGATCTTCAATCTTCAACTCCGGTGGAATCCTGATCTCCAGCGCGAGTCTCCAAGAATTCTCTCAATTCTCTGGTCTCACAATTCTCTCCAGCCAAAGATGGTTTGCTTTGAGGTCTGAGTCTCTATTTATAGAGTTTGAGCCTTGCTTAGAAATCTTTATCAAATCTTCATTGTGTATCTTGGATCCAATCTTCTCTGATGCAAACTAAGATAAGTTAAAGATTTTTCCTCTGATTCAAATCTTGATCGTATCTCTTGATTTCAATCTCCTCCAAATCTTCTAATCATATCTTTGACCAAATCCTTCAAATCTTCTTCTTTTTAATTTAATGGAAAACTTCTAAAAAATATTTAAAGGAAGATTTGATAAAATCTTTAATGATTCAGAAATACAAAGCAACTCTATTTGATATCTCCAATTATCTCTTTATTAAGCTGAAATTACTACAAAATATCAGAAATCTTATGAGAATAAAATAACAATTTAATTATAATTCTCATAACTTTTAATTACTTTTAAATCAATTTCACACTCATATTGACCCTTAATATATAATAAATTGGAGACTCATCATTTATTCATGCTAAGGCCGTCATTAGGAGTAATATATATAATATAATTTATATTTAATACATATAACAGTCCATAATAAGTCATATAACCAATCAAATATTCAAATTTCATAACATAAATATAAACAATTTTTTTTTCGTACTTTGTTAATTTTTCATGTCAAATTTGTTAACAGAAAAAAATTGATTTATAAATTATTTTTTTATATTTAGTTAATAAAATAAAATTAAGACTAAAAAAAAATGTGTCGAAACGTTGACTGCGTCGAAAAAAGTGACTGCATGTCGAAAGAATATGTCAGAGGCATTGACCGCGTATCTCAAATTGTTGACCGCATGTCAAACGCGTGTCGGACACATTTTTTTTTTTTAAAGAAGCGTGCATAGCAGGTAGTAACTGATTAGGAATAAATTTACCAAAAAAAAAAAAAAAACAACTAGTAAGGAACAAAAATTTCGTGTGCAGTGTATGCGTTTGAAAGGAATAAAATAAAAAGACAAAGCATTCCTCGTCAACTCAGGCACTCTTTTGTTTTTGTTTTTGTTTTGTTTTTTGTTTTTTAGTAAATACCTTTTTTTTTTTTTTTTTTTGTCCTCGTCAAGTTTCATGATAGCCACTTTAGTCCTAGCAAATAAAAATATCCATAGTCTTTGAGAATTTCAAAATGGACCTATTTAATTAAAATTGTGGTCCCTCATAAATTCAAAAAAGACTCATGTTAGCCTTCAAAAAACTAAAATGGGTCCATTTTAAATTTCTTAGTAACCATAATAAGCCTTTTTATTTGCTGACCTTGTGAAATTTGGTGAAGAACAAACGTGTATTTACTTTTTTTTTTTTTTTTTGTAAACTTTTTGTTTTAAAAAAAACACTTGCTACCTACGACTTGTTCTCCATGACTGTTTTACTCAAAACACTTCATTTCTCAGAACAGAAAGAAGTGCTACCTTCCTTTTGTTGAATTTGAAATTCAGAGAGAAAGTTTTGATTTTAGGTAGCTGAAGGTGGTAGTTATGGATCTGTTAAGTGAAGGTGCTGTTGGAACTGTGATGGGAGAGATGCTGGAAGCGGCTCTTGAAGCCATACAAAAGGGTCGAGAGTTCAGACCCACCCTTGAAAGCAACATAGAAACGTTGAACTCTTTGACTCCACTTCTGGAAGAGATGAAACGTTACAGCAAGGAGTTGGATCACCCCATAGAAGAGATAGAAAAGCTTGAAACTGAAATACGAGCTGGTGAAGAGCTTGTTCAGAAGTGTTCCAAATTGAGTCGCTGGAGATTTCTTTCTTTCCCCCATAACCAGAGTAAGCTTAAGGCCAAGGATGAGTCCCTGAAGAGGTGTTTTTCTTTTAACGTGCAAGCTGAGAATACAAGGAACTTGATGGAGATCCTGACCAAGGTGGGAAAGATTCTCGAGATTCTGCTAAGTAAAGAGAATTTCGAGGAATATCAGATAAAGGGGCTAAGCGGGGCCCCTGAAGAACCACAATGTATTGGAATGGATGAGCCTTTGAACAAGTTGAAGATTGAGCTGCTCAAGGATGGCGAATCGGTCCTTTTGTTAACTGGTTTGGGTGGATCAGGCAAAAGCACACTGGCTAAAAAGCTCTGTTGGGATCCACAAATCAAAGGTTATTGCTGCTTCACTTGGCCAAGAGCCTAAGAAGCTCTGTTGGGATCCCCCAATATAAGATGTTTGATTCATTTAGTTTTTTCCTTTAGTAGTTGTAGAATTCTTTTTTATTCCTTTTAACTAGTGAAATACTAAAATATACTTGTTGAGATATTCAAGTGTGATGAGTCTCACATTGGTTGGTAATGAGCTAAGTCAAGTAAATATAAGTGAGAGATCCATGAACCCAATGCCTTAAAGTTTTGGGTTAAGATGTGGTGTCGAACCCACTTACTACAGTTGGTGTAGCTTAACCCATTAATAGTGGTCCCCCGCCATGAGCTCCTCCCTGGACCCGTCTGGTTTTGGTATCAGAGCCGGGTTGAATTCGAATTCGAGCTGGCCAGGTATTTGGCTAGATGAATATAAGTGGATGGTCGGTTTTACATTTGAGGGCTAAGAGGCGGGGGAGATTGTTGGATATTCAAGTGTGATGAAGGTCCCACATTGGTTGGTAATGAGCTAAGTATGGGCTCCTCCCTGGACACGTTTGACTCTGGTATCAGAGCCGGATTTGGCTTGGGCTAGCCAGGTGTTTAGCTAGGAGACGGGTTGAGTACTTTGGACCTGAGTACTCGGTTGAGAGCATATTAATGGTCGGTTTCACTAAGTAAAGTGGATATAAATGGTCATGAACCCAATACCTTAAGGTTTTGGGTTGTAACGTGGTGTCAGACTCACTTGATATGGCTGGTCTAGCTTAGCCCATTGGTGGTGGTCCCCCGCCACGGGCTTTCCCTAGACTAGTGAGGTACTCACTTAATCCATTAGAGGTGGCCCCCCCTGTGCCCTGAGGTACTCAAGTAAAGTGGATATAAATGGCCATGAACCCAATACCTTACGGTTTTGGGTTGTAACGTGGAGTCAGATTCACTTGATATGACTGGTTTAGCTTAGCCCATTGGTGGTGGTCCCCGCCACGGGCTTTCCCTAGACCAGTGAGGTACTCACTTAATCCATTAGAGGTGGTCCCCCCCTGTGCCCTGAGGTACTCACTTAATCCATTAGAGGTGGTCCCCCGCTACAAGCTTTTCCTGAACCCGCCTGACAATACCATTATACCAGATTATATCCAAGCATATAAACGTAGTAGTTGCAGAGTTTAGACTTTCTTTTAGAGTGACTTCACGCCAAGCTTAAGCTTGCTGCTCCCAATTCTTTTTCCCCTCTGTCTCATCATATGAGAAGTTCATTATTTCTATATTTTAGTGCATACAAACTTTTTATGCATACATTTTAGTTCATATAATATATTAATCATGTAAACTATTACTTTCCTAGTCACTAACTCGTATAGATTATAGTCATATATGGCATGCATTTTGGAATAATACAGAACCTCAATTCTCCTTGCTTTGACTAGGCAAGTTTGGGGAGAATATTTTCTTTGTCACCGTCTCAGAAACGCCAAACTTGAAGACCATAGTACAGACATTATTTGAACACTGTGGATGTCGAGTGCCTCAGTTTCAAAGCGATGAGGATGCAATTAACCGATTGGGACTTCTGCTGAGGCTTGTTGCAAAAAATCCAACATTGCTGGTCTTGGATGATGTTTCCTCAGAAACCCTTGTTGACAAGTTTATATTCCAGTTGTCAGATTATAAGATTTTGGTGACTTCAAGGTTTGCATTTCAAAGATTTGGCACCCCATGCCAGTTGGATCCACTTCGTCATGATCATGCAGTATCCCTTTTCCATCATTTTGTTCAACGGAAAGGCCACAGCTCATACATGCCTGATGAAAATCTTGTCAATGAGGTAATTTCTCTTCTACTTCTCCAAAATTATTCACACCAATGAGACATGATTAGATGTGACAACATGTTTGTTTGTCATGTTAATTCTTCTGCCTTGGCATATAAATAAATTATCACTGGTTTGGCATATAACATACTTGCAACCTAGTTACCCAAGCCCTTTATCTTAATCACTGGTTTTACTTTCTTGCTCTCAATTGCAGATAGTGAGAGGTTGTAAAGGTTCACCATTGGCGGTTGAAGTCATTGCTGGATCACTCTGTCAGCAGCCTTTTGAGGTCTGGAAAGATATGAAGGAACGTTTACAAAATCAATCCATTCTGGAGTCTGGTAGTACTGACTTATATTATCGCCTTCAACAAAGTTTAGATACATTGAAGGATAAGTTCTCCATCAACGAGAAAGAGTGCTTCATGGATCTTGGGCTATTTCCTGAAGATCAAAGAATTCCTGTTACAGCCCTTATTGATATGTGGACAGAACTGCATAACCTAGATGAAGATGGTAGGAATGCAATGACCATTGTCCATGATTTATCCACAAGGAATTTGATTAAGGTTATAGTTACAAGGTACATGTCATCTTTTTTTCATTCTCCTCGTTGGCCATTTAATGATTCATTTAATTGTAGGATGTAAAACTATACTATCAAATGGAGTAAATTATTCATCTTGTTGGTAGTTTGGTTCTTCCCTAGGTATCTAATTTCTGCTGGTTGTCCAGGAAAGTTGCAAAGGACGAAGACATGTACTACAATAACCACTTTGTCATGCTGCATGATCTCCTCAGAGAGCTAGCGATCCATCTAAACAAAAGGGAACCATTTGAACAGAGAAAGAGGCTAATTATTGACTTAAATGGAGATAATCGTCCTAAATGGTGGGTGGGACAGAATCAGCAAGGAATCATTGGCAGTATGTTTTCATTCATGTCAAGAATTGGCAGCATGTTTTCATTCATGTCAAGAATTGGCAGCATGTTTTCATTCATGTCAAGAATTGGCAGTATGTTTTCATTCATGTCAAGAATGTTAAGAAAACAGAAACAGCTAAAGGTTGCTGCCCGCATATTGTCTATATCAACTGGTATGTTTCTCTCTGTTTAAATTATATGCACACAGACACACGAGTGAAAAATGCTAATAAGAAATACTTCTGCTCTGTGTCATACATTATCTTCCATTCTTGATGCCATATGTGATGCTTTTGCAGATGAAACTTTTAATTCGGATTGGTGTGACATGCAACCAGATGAAGCAGAAGTTCAAGTTTTAAATATTAGCTCTAGACAGTACACCTTACCTGAGTTCACAGATAAAATGAGTAAACTTAAAGTTCTGATAGTCACAAATTATGGTTTCCATCCTACAGAATTGAACAAGTTTGAGCTACTTGGTTTTTTATCTAACTTGAAAAGAATCAGATTGGAGAAGGTTTCAGTTCCTTGCCTGTGCATATTGAAGAATCTGCGAAAATTGTCCCTTCGTATGTGTAAGACAAAGCAGGCTTTTGAAAGCTATTCTATCCAAATTTCAAATGCTATGCCAAATCTAGTAGAGATGAGCATTGATTATTGTAATGATCTAGTTAAATTGCCTGATGGGCTTTGTAACATTAAGCCATTGAAGAAGCTTAGTATCACTAATTGTCACAAGCTTTCTGCACTGCCACAAGAAATTGCAAAGCTTGAGAATTTGGAAGTGCTAAGGCTTTGTTCCTGCTCTGATTTGGTAGAGATGCCAGACTCTGTTGGAGGGCTTAATAAGCTGTGCTGTTTTGACATCTCAGACTGTGTAAGTCTTAGCAAATTACCAGATGACATAGGTGACTTGCAAAAGCTTGAGAAGCTCTACATGAAGGGTTGCTCAAAACTGAGTGAATTGCCAGACTCCATCATCAATTTTGGACATTTCAAGCATAAAATACTCGTGATCTGTGACGAAGAAAGGGCTGCCTTATGGAAACAATTCCCCAGCATTCCCAATTTAATCATTGAGATGCCTGAAGTAGGTACTAGCTTAGATTGGCTTCCTGGAGTTTATAGCTAAGACTTGTTTCCTGAAGGAGATAAAGTGGCTTGGAATCTGATGGGGCTATGACGAGTGGGCCCAGAGTTAGTTAGAGGAGAAAGAAATTGTCTAACAAATTGGTGAAGGGTGGAATATATAGTGCTTAGGAATGTGGGCTGTTTTCATATGGAGAATTTCATGTAAACAGTGGGGTATGGGAATTGGGAGGAGTGGTCCTCTAGGTAAGGCTATTCCAGCCATTAGTGTCTTTTGTTCCTGTGTTTTGCATTACTGTAAGGCTGATCTCAGCCATTAGTGACATTTTAATTCTGTACTTGGTGATTGTAAGGAGCTGAGTCTCCAGCGTTTTCATTAATTCAGTTCATTTTAATTTTGGGTTCCATCAGAATCATGTTGAAATTTGTAAACAATGTTGATTTTACTCCGTATATCTTTTCCAGGTAACTTGAGAAAAACGCAAGAATTTCTGTTAGATGATACTATAAATGTAATACATCAATGTGGCTTGAAAGAACATTTTGTGTTATTTTAGCATGATCAGGGACCATGATGATGAGATTATTTTTCATGAGCCAAGATTTCCGCGACACCAATTTAACTGGCAGGGGGACAATTAAGAGGCTAATGCCTAATGTGTATATAATACAAACCAAGTATTCAACAGGAATAGAAGGAAGGGTAATTATCATTCCTTCGTTCAGCCACCAACCCCTTCTGGAGGGTAAGAAATATGTTCCTCCCCTCACAAAAGTGATAATGATAAATGGTGTGGACATTGGCAGTTCCAAGAGCACACTATATAAATTAACATGATGAACTTCGTGTCTTATCCAATCTACAAGAAATACGGTCTGCACACATTTCTCTTTCCTTGATGCTGAGAAGGGCATAAAGCTGAAAACTAAGATGCTCTCTCCTTTCATTATGCTGTCTTTCAATGCAGATGATGATTGAATTATATGGCATACACTATCTCCCCACTGCTATCTACATCAAGCTCAAAGTCAGAGTCTAATTCATCCATGTCATCATCAACATCAATGCTATCAGTCATAAACTGGTCTAAAGAATAGGTCCCAGCTGCTGGAATGGTAGCTTCTGAAATTATTTGCATGATCGTATCAATGCTCTGCATGGGCTGATCTGGCTCTTCAAATTGGTTTCCCATTATCTTTTCACCCATCAAGTCAGCAGGAAGATTCTTCAGAAACCATTCATTTTTCAATATTTCAGGAATGGTGATTCTCTGTCAAATAAATGTCCAAAGGCATAAGGTTCAAATAAATTAATAAACTAGCAAGTATGGAAGTTAGTCCCTAAGTTATATAATCAACAGTTTCGATTCATAATATGCAATCAACAATTTCCCCGATTGTATATGATCACAATTTCTTATTTTATAATAACAGATGCAGCAGTATCTACAATATATTCTAACCAATGCTAGATAAACAACCTAAGCAGCGCAGGACCTAGAAAATAAAAAAGTATAATATTAATATATGTCAAACAGTAGGTATACAAAGCTAGATATTAAAATATATCAAAACGGTAGATATTTCTACCCAATGCTAATGCTAGATATAGAACCTAAGCAGCGCAGGACCTAGAAAATAAAAACGTATAATATTAATAGGGATAGATTATTCTACCTACCATTTTTTCTGCCTACTTTTGCCTACCACTCTAAAACACCATTAGATCAGAATCTTAACTAACATTTATCTTTCTATCTCTTCTTGAGATTCTGATCTAACGGTGTTGGAGAGTGGTAGGCAAAAGTAGGCAGAAAAAATGGTAGGTAGAATAACCTATCCCATATTAATATATGTCAAACAGTAGGTATACAAAGCTAGATATTAAAATATATCAAAACAGTAGATATTTATACCCAATGCTAGATATAGAACCTAAGCAGCTCAGGACCTAGAACGTGTAAAAGGATAATATTAAAATATTATTTCCATTGAGAAGGGAAATGCCCAACATTCAGGCTATACTTCAAAAATCCAGTTCATGTAAACCAAGAAATATTGCTTGAGCTCTCAAAAAGTTTTAAAAATAAATAAATAAATAAATTCTAACAACACTTTCAAGTGGTAGAATGGTAGCGTATTAAAATGCATCTATAGAACAAAATTCCTCAGGGATTGTATGTCACTATGTTGTATATCACATTATATATAAGCAGAAGTAGGTGAGTATTAGAAAATAGAAATTACCTCTGCAGGGTCAAAAACAAAGATCCTTGAGATAACGTTGCGACACTCGGGAGATATTTGAACAAAGTCTGGAATGGAATACTGGACACTGAGAACTCTCTGCAAGGAACCGACCAAAATAAGTTGTGCTTACGCAATCAGAGGCTTATAAAGAAAACATGCAAATATCTTATTATCTGATCAAACCTGAATTGTCTTCCGGAAATCCTTTGGTTCATTAGGATCTTCAAAAGGATACAATCCCACTAACATCACATATAAGGTTACACCACATGACCAAACATCTGCAATCTGATATTACATGCATGACAACATAAAAGAAATCCATTAAGATACCCAACATACATACTAGCAACGTTAAAAATAAAAATGCTTGACCAGAGTGCAATTGGATTACATCACACCACCAATAAAAAGGGGGCGGGACTCAAGATTAAACACTAACATGTAGGTGCTTAATTAGTGATCTTGCAGATTAAAAATATGACAAAGCATCCTTACGACTATAAATTACAAAAAGTGGGCACATGGTTGAATGTGTACAAGTTAAAAAAATAATTTAAATAGAGAAAAAGAAAATGAGGGTGAGAGTGGGCATGGAAAAAAGGAAGAATGGAGGGAGAAAGTTGGGTGGTAAATCTCAAATAATTTTATTCTTTAATTACATTTAGAGCTTCTTTTTTTATTAATCTATCAATGAAAAAAAGTTCATAAATAAGGACCTTTTGAACTTTTAGGACAAAAGGTGCAGGATGGAAAATTACCTCCTGCTCTCTTTTAATAAATAAAAGTAGAGATTTAAGTCAATACTGTAAATTAAGTTAAGAAGTTCAACTAGTGAAGCGAAGACATGAACATGAAGATGACAACCAGAAAAGAAAAATAGTCTTTGCTTAGAGTTCAAAAAAAAAAAAAATTACCACTGGACTAGGTGAGAACAGATAGACAATCAAAATATCATTGCTTTAGCTCCTTATAACAGTTTATGTTGAGAATTCATTAGTCCACAAATAATGACAACAGAGTTCTTCATTCAATCAAATGTGACAGTAATACTTTATACCGGTACAGAAAAAAGAGTAAGACAATGAAACTAAGAAATACTCTACCTTGCCATCATACTCTTGTTTCAGTAATACTTCTGGAGCAATATATGCTGGAGTTCCCACAGTTGACTTCGGTTGTGAATGAAGCAATGAAGACTGCCAATAAAAAACCTATTAGATTTGCAAGAAAAAGCAATTGATATAAACAACTCAAATTATTTAAAATAAAATAGAATACAACAGTGATCTATTCTTGAGAAGTCCCAAATTAGATTGAAAAATGAATATTTACGTGCTTACAAACCAGAAGGAAAATGAATTGATAAATAAAAAGGATGAAAGAAAAATTCATGAACCTCCTGGTGTCATTGAATGTACATGGGAAACTATTTTAATTGCAATGTATCATAAAACACATGAAACAAATACAAGTTGAATTGTCTTATAGCACAAACGTGTGAAACAGCCAAATGATCAGATGCCTCAAGAAACCTGGAAACATTTTATAGTTTTTTGTTGTCCACTCGTATGTGAAACACTGAAACATAAACACAAGCAGAAGCAAGTTCAAAGATCAGAATGGCAGTGATCGACTGAAATTCAAATTTGGCTATTCTAAAATGGATTATCACCTTATACATGGGTTCACAAATGACAAAACATTAGTTTTTTCATCAAGGGCTACATATGTCAGACAATCTTACAGGCTTAGACTTGGGACAAATCCAATTCTAACACATGGATCAAGCACAAGCTTATTAAATATTTCATATTATTGAAATTCGCAATGAATAGTCATGCATAACTGTTCCCTTCCAATAAACCAAATTACTGAAAGCATCTTTTAGTAACTCAAGGATTTACCAAAGTCCAATAAAGCAGCCTATATCTGTAGATCAAAAGTGATTCACAAGAAAACTAAGAACAACCAGATGCAGGAAGTAATTTGGAGGTAAGCTAGTTTTTGAAGGAGCTTGAATAGCTGTCAGAAAGTTGCAATAAAATTTGTGAGAAAGAAAACCATCATTTAAGGGTACAAATTACTCAATCATACACATCCCAGTAAAATATAAAAGCATGGAACTCACACCATTAAAAGCTAATGAGACAAAGAAACCCTTACCTTGGAGTACCCAAAATCACATATCTTCAAATGAAGTGCTGGGCTCCCATCCAACAAAGTGTTTTCCAACTTCAGGTCCCGGTGACATACTTGCTTCATGAAGAGACATATTATACATAAGACTGATGCATCAGACACAATTCTCAGAAGATTGACACATTACCTATACTAGATTATACTGTAGGTTAAATACAATTTAAATCGGGGACGGAGAGGAGTTAATTACCATTGCATGACAATAGCTGACCCCAGATATGAGTTGTTGAAAGAAGAAACGAGCCTGACAGCATAACAATGGTTAACAAGTTACACAGGAAACAGATTACGAGTATAAATTATTAAATTTCTTCTCAGTGAATGATAGGTGTAGGAAAAGTAAACAAATTGTATAAGAACCTCATCCTCAGTAAAACGCCCTGCTTTGCTGATTCGATCGAACAGTTCTCCTCCAGATGCATATTCCATTACAATGGCCAGATGTGTAGGTGTTAAAATGACCTGAGTGAAATTTCATAGAACATTTTCCGTAAATGTAACTATCCTTCCTCTGAAGGTAAAAATATTGAAATATACAAATATACCAACCTCCTTAAACCTGACAATGTTAGGGTGTCTCAGAGACCTGTGATTAATGATTTCTCTCTTAACATTTTCATCAATCTGTGACATATGATAAGAAAAAGATGAGTCCAGTGCTCCATCAGCAAGAAATAGAAAGAAACTGGCAACAAATTGCATAATAAAGGTCGATCCAAAAGATCATAGTTGAATCAAAAGTATGATTTGGAACACCAAAAATTTTCCTTGGTTCACAATTCCACCGTGAATGAGTACATCTAAAATTCAATTAAACCAAATGCTCTGCATTCACGCCCTGAACCAGTTCAACTTTTTTTTTATTTTATTTTTTACTTTTAAAGCAAAATGACCAACCAATTCTTGATACTTCCACTTGATCGAGCCCTAAACCCCACTCTTAATCTAGTGCACCATCAGAACGACCAAAAAGGGGGTCAGAAAAGCAGTATGTACCAGATCACCGCTTATCAACATATATAAACTTTATAGCATAATTTCATCATCAAAACAAGAAGTCATCAATTAAGTCACCTTACTTTAACGGGTGGCCTCTCCTCATCAGTTCTACCTATCTATCATCTAACATCATCCATCTCCTTTTAAGTCAGTTCTCTATACAAACATACTCACTTATGTAGCAATGCATGCCTAACAAGATTTTATTTTATTTATTTAAAAAATATAATGACATGACATGACGACAACGAAAGCTATAAAAACAAGTTATTTCAATTAAGACAAGGTTGGAAGATAAACTGAAGTGCCACACGGATACCAATTTAATTAACAAAATAAGAAAACCGAAAAAGTGCATGATTAATTGATCGTTATTATCTCTTTCAGTTTTCCCTCCTTTCCTCATCAGGAAACAATTCATACTGCGAAACGCATCGTTAACTGATAATTGTCTTCTCCTAAAACACGTCACCAAAACTAACGAAACAACAAACCTTTCATAAGTACCCAAACAGAAATGGAAAACCAAAACATCGTACTATTAAGTAGAATCATACGTCAGCATCAGTAAACAAACGAAAAAAATTTGAAAACCTCTTTCTTTCTTTCTTTGTTTTTTTTGTTTTTTTTTTCTTGACAAAATGGTGATTTAGTGGAACCTTATCTCCGCGTTCGATATACTTGACAGCAACAAGCTCTTTGGTGTGCTTGTCCGTCATGAGCCTTGCGACAGCGAAATTCCCGGACCCGATATCTCGGACGAAATCGTACCGGTCGCTATCGTGCATGATGGGCATCTCCACGGCAGCTCCGGTCGCCATCGCCACCGGCCGATCCATCTGTTAAAAAATAAAAAACCAAATACAGAGAAAGATGGCCCGGGATGAGTGAATAGTTGAGCTCATGTGAAGAAAGGAGAAAGATTCGGCGACCGGCGAGTGGGGAGATTTATAAGACAGTAAACGACGTCGTGTTTCGGAGTCCAAGATGACAACGGTTGCCCCGTAAGCAACATTGTCGCCTTTCTATTATATTTAATTTAATTTTGCCTTTGCCTTGTCTCTCACTGTCTGTCTTAATGAATATCGTTGATCTATGCAATGCATCATGCATGTGGATGTGGATGTGGTGGGCTTTGCTTTTTCTTTTCTTTATTAAGTAATCAATCTTGTTGGTTGCTACTTGCTTGCTTCGTTGATGAATTTGGGCTGGTTGTGTGTTGTTGTCAGGCCGCAGCCACTTGACTGACATGGCGGTCCCCTCCTCAATTCTCATTGGACCGGGTCCAGCTCGACAACGACACGGTCCATTCGGTTACGTCACTTAGCGTGGGAAGAAGGAGAACGCATGAGAATATCCGCCACACAAGAAAGTCATTTCCCTTGCGCAAATAAAAAATTGTTGGCGCATGGAAAGTTGAGTTATGTGATTTCATCTGGTTTTTTCACCCTTTTATCCTTTATTAATTAATTAATAATTATTTTGCCCCTGATTTGAAATTATTTATCAATTTGCCCCTCTTTAATCGACTACGTTGCATTTTTAATCGACTAAATGGCCAAAACAGACAAAAAAATGGCTGTTGGGAGATTTAGTCGACTAAATAGGGAGATTTAGTCGACTAAATCTCCATATTTGACAAAAAAAAAAGAGTAGCCAGTATGATTTTAATCGATTAAGTAGGGAGATTTAGTCGATTAAATCTTCCAACAACCATTTAGTCGATTAAACATGCAAAGTAGTCGATTAAAGAAGGGCAGATTGATAGATAGTTTCGAATCAGGGGCAAAATGGTTATTAATTCATTGATAAGGGGCAAAATGGTCAAATAGCCGATTTCATCTTCTTCGGTATTATTTTTAAAAAAAAATTAAAATATTAATTTTGAATTTGCCCTGGACATAATTGTGTTATGGGTAATACATGTGAAATATTACAGAAAAATAAAAGAAGTTCTCGCAGAAACAAAAAATTGGGAGAGAAAAACAAATTTAACTCCGACAACCATTTCGTTTTCGGGTAACATAACACATATATTACTCTTGTTTTATCTAAAAAATATCTGTAGTTTATAAAAAAAAGTTTTATATATATTATGTTGTAAGACATTTTTAGTTTCATGTTACTTTAATATATTTGATGTGAGTCACATTTGTTATGTGAGAGTAACATGACACTAAGAATGCCATGCAACATGATACGTATAAAATCCATAAAAAAAAAACTCTTCAATATGGCGAATCAGCAAGACACCTTTTTATTGTTCTTTCTTCGGACCAGCCATTAAGGTATCTATCTAGTAGTTACATAAGCATGTTTGTTTTGTCTAAGATTTTAAACATAAAATAAAAGCTAATTCAAGATTTTGATTATTTGTCGTCAAAGAGAAAAGAAAAAAAAAGGGGTAGAAGTGAGGCTTTTTAAAAAAAATATTCAAATTGATTCATCATTTCACAACTAGTCTGGTTCAGGGTGGATCTGAGATTAAGACTTTAAATTTCTCTCAAAAGTGATACTGGGATGATCAAATACATACTCTCATTTCCACCTACTCAGCTCTCATGCGCCAACTGAATTATCACAATTTAATTAAAAGTGGAGCTTTAAAATACCAAACAAGAAGAAGTTGGAAATAGGACTTTTTCTAGTGAAGTATGAAATATGGGCTAGAAAGAAAGAAGCCCATTATAGAGAAACTCAGATGAGCCCAATTTCACTCGAGGAAGCGAGGCCCATCCATCCTTTCACATCGAATCACACACCCCTTTCCAAACGTGACTTGCCATGAAAGCCCAACTTTATGCATGTGACGCTGCATCAAAAGCCAAAATCAAATACACCAATTTATAGCTTATCCAGACTTTGAGGTCAGTTTCCATTCTCGGGTAAGCAAAAGTAACTATTTTCTCTTCACTCAAAGGTAGGGACAGGACAAAAGGGTAATTTTACCATAAGTAGAGGGGCCAAAAAAAAAAAAAAAAAAATTAGATACAGAGGGGCAAATTTTTTATATAAAACAAATGCAGCAGGGTCAGGGTGGGTACACGGTACTTATGAAAGGGCAATTCGGCACGTGTGGCGCTCGCAACTGCATCCCTCTTATTCCTTAACGAGAAACGGGCGAGCGAAACCGAGAGAAAACCTTTTTATTTATTTCCACTTGTGTCCTCAGCTGGGGCAAGCTTGTCTTCTCAAACTTCATTTTCTTTGCGCTGAGACCGAGTCAGAAGCTGAGTCACCCGCTGCTATAACTCGTGCATTGAAGGGTTAACTCGCACTCGTCCGCTTCAAATGGTATCCGAATCGGAGCTTATCGGCCGCCTCCGCGAGTTCCTCCGGAGCTCCGACCTCAACACCACCACCACTGCCACCGTGCGCCGCCAGTTGGAGAGCGATTTCGGAATCGATTTATCGGATAGGAAGGCATTCATAAGGGAACAGGTCGACTTGTTCCTTCAGAGCGAACACCATCAAGAAGAAGATGCTCACGAGGAACCACAAAACGACGACGAAGAAGAAGATGCGGTTAAACCCGAACAAAGCCAAGCCTCTGATTCCAAGGAACAAACTGAAGATGATGATAATAATGATGACGGAGTGGAAGAGAAACCGAAGCATGCCAGGAATGGGAAGAATAAAGGACGGTTAGTCAGTTTTTGCTTCTTGATTCCTTCCACTTCGTTTCAATTGGGAAAAAAAAAAAAGATCAAAAGATTGCACTTTTCTTTGAATTTACTTGATTTTGAATGTGAGGATACACCAATTTGATTAACAATTACTGGTTTCTTCTTTAAGACCAAATCTGGGAGCAAAGATTCCCTGTCATTTTGCAATCAATGGCATCATCACTAAATTTTATTTTTAGATTTTTTTCTTTTTTAAACTTTTTTACCTGGCATTCGCCATTGTTATATCACTTATATGATAACACACGCACATGGCTTTGAGTTATTTTTGAGCGATTGGGGTCCACTCGGGGACTATGCTATGTTGCTCTCTATTGGTATTTTCCATAAAAAATTGTGTGCTTTTGAAGTTAGTGACGAGGTTACTTGCCTTGCAGGTTTACATGAACGAAAAGTGTTCAGTTTTAGCTTTTCGATGCACGCATATTCTTCTTATTCTTTGCTTTGCCAAACAACTAATCTTGTTAACCTTGCTTTCTTGTACGGTAATGCCAATGACTGATCAAAATTTAATTTTTATGGCCTCTCTGCACTTGTAAAGATTGTAATCATAAAACTAGATAACTTACTGGTCTTCTGTTCTGCCTCTCATACCCGTTAATCACACTGCTATTGAATTAGCAATTTAGCGTACCTGTTCCTCAATGATGGATTTGGGCTTTCTTTTCTCCCCCCTGCCCCTCCTTTTGTAATTGTTGAATTTATTTTTTTCCTGTCATTTGACTCATTTTCACCGATGTAGACAATTTGGTGAACCACATAAGTTGCTTTAGCAAAATTAGTCTATATTTCTGTCAGTTATGCTTCCAAGAATTTCCTTGGAAAACTTTTGATCACACTATAGGATCTTTTAACCCCTCTTACTCAACAATCAACATATAGTTAGTCACTTTTGCTAGTCATTACTGTGGTTTGATCCCTGAAGTGAAATGCTGATACTTATATACTTGCATGATTTCCTGCAGGAGAATTGCTCCACAGGTGGCCTTTTTAAGTTGTAGAACCTCCAAGTTAAATTCCTTCCCTGCCCCAAACAATAAATTAACAAAAAATCATGTAAAATATTTTTCTTTATTTGTCATTATATTTATATGTTGCTGATCTCCCAAGATTTTGCAAAGCAAACATGATCTGAAAGCTAATGCAACTTTTTCCAGACCATTGGCCTTAGTTGTCTCTAGTCCAAAAGAAGATATATTGACTTAAACTGCAGGTTGATACAGTGTTCTTGGTTGGACTTCTATTTGTAAACAACTACAAATTTGTATAGTTCTGGAGCCACGATAGTATACCATTTTCAAAAGAGGTTTCTAAAGCACCCATAAAAATTTCTCTATAGCAAGTGTTGAGATTCTCACTTTTCCTATGGTGCCACATGTTAATAATTTATGGCTCGAAGAGAAAAGAAGAAAGACAAAGCATGCAACGTTAAAACTGAAAAGATAAATAAAATAAAAGAGAAGATCAAACAGATTGAATCACTAACCACGCAACAACACTAAGAGAAACCAAAGAGAGCTAAAATTTGATAAATAAAATAAATAAATACTGCCTACATTGCATCCTTGAGAAAAACTTACTAGAAATTTACTATTCATCCAAAATTTTCAACTACAAACTGGTGATTTACTTCGCATCATTTTTATTTTGCTTAATATCTTAGTTAGCTTACACATAGACAATCACCATCCATTCCAACTGCAGACAATCACCTAAACTTTCATATTTGGTTGAAAATAGATTCTGTTGATTGTTCCTGTAAAACTTCCTTGAACACACCATGACCATCATACATTCAGAAAAGAAAAAAAAAAGTGTTTTGTGTGTATTTATTTCTACCCCATTTAATGGGAAAAAAATGGAAGCAAAGTAAGGGGGAGATCATTTTGCAGAAAGGTTCCAATCTTGCAGATATCCAATATAACCAATAACTTCTACTTTATAGTTAGCCAGTCTGCGTAAAACCAATAGACATCAGAGGAGTTTTCTTCTCTTTTGGAAACCAATAGAAACTTTACACAACAAACAATTTGTGAGAACAATCTCTCATGTTTATGTACCTTTACATCTTGCAATGGATTACAATATCTACAAGTACCTATTTGTAAATACTTTCCATTTGAGGTGCCCTTGTTTTAACAACTGTTGTTTCATCTTTGCTTCAGATCTAACAAGTCAGGTGATGAGGTAGTAAAGAAAAGAGGTGGTGGTTTTTGCAAATTGTGTAGCCTGTCTCCACAACTTCAAGAATTCGTTGGAGCACCAGAAATGGCTAGGACTGAGGTATACTTTCTTTCTTTTTCTTTATTTTTTGGTAAAAATAATTGGTAGTAAAGGTAGGTTACCCCATTGTTATGAGTCAAGAATTTCTATAAGAGTGAGTATATAATGTAATTCTGTTACTAACCTTATAGCATCTATTTATAATGTTGGCCTTAGGTTGTTAAGCAATTATGGGCCTATATTAGGGAGAAAAATTTGCAAGACACAAACAATAGGCGAAATATCATTTGCGATGAACCTTTGCGTGCCCTTTTTGGTGTTGATTCAATCAACATGTTCCAAATGAATAAAGCATTGTCAAAGCATATCTGGCCATTGGAATCAAATGATGGTATGCTTCTGCAACCCTACCCTCCTTGTTACTAATTTTTGTCTTATTTTCAAATAAGATGTTGGATCTCCTTTTGGATTATCATTTTTCATTTTATTTTTTAGACAAGGTACCTAATCCTTTTTTAATTTTCACTGTATTATTTTCTTGTGCTTGTATGTTTTTCTTTTTTAGGAGAGTTTTTTGTCAAAGTACTTTTTTGGGTGCTCTTATTAAGCATGATAGAACTATAATACTGCTTTGTGCACCAGATCCCTTTACATATTGTTACATTATGAAAGAACTACCACTGATTTATAATATATTTTTCCACTCTACTGAATTACTGATTAACTTTTATTTCATGACACTGCAGACCTGAGCTTCCCTGTTTTATTCCTTTAGTCAATTTTTTGTAGACAATTCAAAAATGTTGTTTAAACTGCATCTCTTGATATAGTTGTCCAGGTGAAGTCAGCACCAAAGGAAAAGCAGAAGAAGCAGGAAAGAGAAGATGGTATGCTTAATGATCTATGTTATTTGTCTACCTGGTATCACAGCCCCTTCCTTGCCAATTATAAATTCTTGCTCCTGCGGATTTTTATCCCAGTCTACAAATTTTAATAGTGAAAAAAAAAACCGTTTGCTTTTGGATTTATACTAGAAATCATTTGACACGCACAGTTACTGGATGAACTCTTATTTTGGGGCAATTTATGGCATTTAGTCATAGTTTTACGGTACTTGTTTGTACATGTTTTACAAATGAATATAATCAATTATTTACAGCATGTTTACTGCATTATAACCTACCTCACTTGACAGATCCGGATGAGCCAAAAAGAAAGGAAAAACGGCAGAAGGGAGGAAAATCAGGTTTTCTTGCTCCTCTTCAGCTATCTGATGCCCTTGTAAACTTCCTTGGTACTGGAGAAAGTGAGTTATCAAGAGCTGAAGTCATAAAAAAAATGTGGGATTACATAAAAGGAAACAACCTTCAGGTATGTCATTGCTCTAATTGTCCTCCAGCCATATATATTACTTAAACAAAGCTCTATTGGTCTCTCCGCATTAGAGGTAATGGCCTTGTGAAGAGCTGGAAAAGTCATATTCAAATAATCATACATTTGGCCCAATAAAATAATATTAACTACAGCGTACACCCAGCAATGCACTATTCAGATTTTAGCTAGATTGTGCTGTTTGCAATATTGTGTAAATACAAGTCAAGATGTACAATTGTGTGTTTCAAGTTTGATGTAAACCAAATCATAAAGTCTCCAACTCCCCGCAACCAGGTCCATTGGCACTCCAACTTTTCAGGAAGCCTTCGACTTTGCCACCAACCTTTGACTTTGGTGAGAGACGCTCATGTTCTCTGTTTGTGTATTTCTGTTCTTATTGGCTTGGTCTCTTTTCTTCTCTAATTTCGCTTCCATGCTGTGTAGCCTCCAACTCCCCTCACCCAAGAAAATCGGTGCTATATGACTTTGATTAGGCCTTCTACACCTCTGTTTATGTTCTTACATAAACCACCTCATTATCATTACGTCCCTGTTGGAAGTATACTTGTCAACCAGCATAAAATACATTCCCATTGCATATGAAGAAAGTTGTGGAATTTCAAAATTTATCCGATGGGTATACTCAGTTGGAGTAAAACTGGAATGGGTAGAGGGGATAAAGATGAAATTTAATTGACAATGTACATTCCATGCATCATGTTTAAATAAATTGAGCAATTTCACCTGTTTCCCCTCCACTCTTTCCATTTTTTCCACTATAAGGTGCTATGCATATAGTAGGTTTCGTGTTAGATTGCCAATCTACCATGACCCAGTGGCGGACTTGCACTTGCACCAATGACCGCAAGTGCAGACATAAACTTTTGAAAAATTGTTTTGTATACTAATCACAAAGTGTCATTCCCTCAAATCACAAAATGCCTATCTTCATCCCCCCTCAAATCACAAAGTGCAGAGCAGGAAAGCAATGGGAGCTTTGGTTTTGAGGAAGAAGAGGGAATGGTGATGGTGATGAACTTGATGTAACTCCACGGTCCAAAGAAAATAGTAAGTGAAGAGGTGGGTCTACGGTTTTGGTAGTAAGAAGAGATTGAATTTTCTGATTGCATGAATGGGATGTGGTCAAGGGTCCTAGCCGTGAAAGGGATAAGGGAATGCAGAGTGTCCTTTGTGTTGGGTAGATGTCGACCATGCACCAAAGAGAGAGGGAGGAAATCAGTGGACACATGGCGATCAGTTCTAATTTAGTCGACCGAAAATATAATGCTTTTAGTTTTTGTATGTGACAATTATACATTTAATTAAAAAAACTTCACTGTGTAAAATAAGACAGAAAATTAAAAATAAAACCAATTGGGTCCATATGATATGGAGCCCAATATGAATTGGAAAAAATATGATACATTTTAGCTAACTTCATTCAAAATGCTATTAGAAATCCTACTCGGTCTTTATTGTATTGAAAGTATTTTTATTTATTATATAATATTTTTTATTTTCGCCCCCCAAAAAAAAAAATCTGATTCCGCCATTGGTTCTATTGTAATAGCTTAGTTGACTCTTAATTACTATTTTTTTATGTTAAGTTGAAGTTTTCTTTTCTTTTCTTTTCTTGTTTATATTCTTTTGTTTTTTAATGCATTCAAAACTTTCTTTAAAAAAAAAATCGAGGGCACCGCCCCCGAACTCCGATCACTAAGTGTGCGGACATAAATAAAAAATTTTGGATCCGTCACTGTCATGACCTGTCCTCTTATTTGCTGAACTTAGACCAGCTATGTTTGATAAACTATACAAGACCAAATTGTTGGTGTTAATCTAAGCAATGTTATTCAGATTCTTTCTTTGATCAATTATTATCATTATAACTATTTTTTCTTAGCCCTAAAGCTGTGCAATTTTCTGACCAATTGTCAATTATCAGCTCTCTCAAAAGCAAAAGCTATTAAGTAAAGGCTCGTAAATGACTTGGTTATATTTCTAATGTTTTCCTTTAAGCAAGAGTCATAATGAGCCTTTTAGTGTGAAAAATGTTGGCTAGCTTTAAGCTGCACATCTGAACATTGTATGGCTTTATTGTATTTGTACATACTAGCTATAACACCAGTTAAATTTCTGATTGCTTTGTGCAGGATCCTTCTGACAAGAGAAAAATACTATGTGACGAGAAGCTGAAAGAACTCTTTGATGTGGACACCTTCAATGGCTTCACTGTTACAAAACTGCTGGCTCCTCATTTTATAAAGGCAGAGCAATGAGTTGCTTGTACATGTTATACGGTCAAGCATGGGAAAGTTGGGGGATTTTGTTTATCAAATTAGTTTTGGAAGGTCTTCTTTGTGTCCTTTTGCCTTTGGCATGGTCTGCGAACAGGGGGAATAGGAATTAGTAAAATGACAGATTTTCAGTATTTTTCTCGAAGAATTTAATGGTACATGACCTTTTGCTTAGTTTTTTTAATGTCTTGTTGTGCCACTTGGCAGTTGAAAATTTTGTATATTTTTTAGTTCCTGAAGCTGCAACGATAATGCTGACTTCATACTCTACATGCAATTTGGCGGTTGTTCGAGGGGGATAGATATTCCATAATATATGAAGAAAACAAAAGTAATTGTTATTCCATCGACCTAAAATCTAGAATTTCCAGTCTATGTATAAAATCTTTATAATTATTATTAGAATAGAAAAACCCATCCGAATTGGAGTTCATGTTCGATGGGTCAATCCCTTTCTGGCTTAATTGCTTCCATGTATTTAAGGTGAGAGGATCTTGGAGAAGTGTAGTACACCGAAATGATGATTCTTATGTTTATTATCCAGAGAGAGAGAGAGAGAGAGAGAGAGAGAGAGAGAGAGAGAGAGAACAACAAATACATTTGAAGTCTTAACTTCGCATGGTAATAAAAATATCAATACTTTTAAGAAGTTGGTTTCGAAAAAAATAAAAAGAAGAAATTGGAAGACACAAATCAATTTCAAGGAAAATACTCTTCCCCACTTGACAAACCCATCAACAGTTTGAAAACTTCATGCAACAAGAATGGGTCATTGATAACTCCCTCTCATGGTAGATCAGATCGTTCCAGCTCTCAAAAGATGGAACAAGTACAAGGACGTATTTGGTGACATCACGAAAAGAAAAAAGTCGTTGATGCTTGGGCTCGAAAGGGTGCAGAGAAAAAGAGTTACTAAAGATTCCTAGAGGCTAGTTCAATATGAAAAAGAAGTTCACAATCAAATTCAGACCACTCTCGAGCAAGAGGAAATAATGTAGTTTCATAAGTCTAGAGAAAAATGGTTGATTGATGGGACCGTAACACACGCTTTTATCACATTACGACATTGATAAGATGAAGTGGCAACAGGGTGCTTGGATTACAAAATGAAACGAAGCAGTGGATTTCGGAACCAAAAGAGTTAATTCAAATGGCAACGAGATTTTATTGGGTGTTTGGTACATGGAAAAATTTGAGATTCTCATTTGGTACAAGGGAGTGTAAAAATGTTCCTAGGAAATATTACAATCCCAAGATTTTACTTTACACACAAAAATCTCAAACCAAAATACCATTGAATAGGTGGTATTTTAAAAAGGGAAATCATTTTCTCATGTGATAGGAGATAGTTTTCTTATGTCATAAGACATCGAAATTCGTACTATCCTTTTTATTTTTTGTTTTTTTAACAAGTGGTGAGCTCCACCACTTGTTATGTCTATGACATGAGAAATGATATCTTATGTAACATGAGAAAAGAGAAACTCATTTTAGAAATCTCGCACGATGGGAAAATGTTAACTGATTTTTCAGATACAAATACCTTCCCAGCCGTTTCGGTTTCACTCTTATTCTTCTACATATGTCACTCTTTGTTTCGGTTTCTTCTTTGTCCCTACAAGGTCCATATTTTCATCTGTCAACAGAAAATTACATCCATTTTTTTTATGAATCTCAGGAATATCACAGTCATCCAATAGATCCGTCTATGCATCAAGCTCTAGAACATCTTGTTGCGTGCCAAATTCATTTGCTGGAATTTTAGAGGCAATGTTGCCTACTGCACGTTTCCACTTGATCACATAAAATTGATGTCCATATTTCATCTTCATATGTTCTAAAGAATCAAATTCATATTTTCCAAATAACAAACTTTCACCAAATAATAATAACTCAATTGGCGCAAAGGAACTGAGCAAGTGGGGTGAGAGCATGTGTTCGATTCTCTCCATTACCGTCTTTGGGAGGGGGTATAAAGCTTTTAATCCCGAGACCCGTCCCGAATCGGACTAGTCACGAAGCGATGAACCAATTGGAATATCTCCAAAAAAATAAAAACTATCAAATTTTCTACTCTAATTGTAGCCATATCCCTCAAAAAGATTGTGGACATTATAAGAAACACCACCCGTCGAATTTAGGACGGATCTCAGTGCTAATGGAAGTTCAAAAAATCAACCATCATCTCAATATTTAAATTTTTAAGAAATCAACCAACATCATTCGTCTACAACGACCTCATCGGAAACATCATGGCATTATCCTCGACTGAGTGTCGGCGCGAACTCAAGTTGAGAAAGAAAGAAGAAAAAAAGAAGCTGAATTAAAAAAAAGGCTTAAGGTTAATTTTGTAAATGCGATCCACATTTCCAACAATATTTTACAATCAACCAAATATAGAATTAGGAAAATTGACCCAATAATCCTAGGAAAATTTTGGCCTACCAAACAGTTTTTTAGTAATATTCCCAGGAAACTCACTTTCCCGTCATATTTCCTGGAAATTGTGATTCTCGGGTAAAAAAAAATCTCCTCTACTAAGCGCCCCCTAAGTTGTTTCACGAAGAAATCATTGATAGGCCATGGTTCAACTCATCAAACTCTTGCTCATCTCAGCTCCACCTTCAATTCACTCTATTTGATATGGGGTCGTATAAAGCACCAACTTGGGACGACTTCCCAGTAGTATTCTACATTCAAGGTACTTACAAATGAAGCTTCATTGTCTACATCTCAACCTAAAGATCAAGTTAATTACATTGTAGAGAAAAAGGTTGAGGAAGGGAACAAAAAGGAAGTCCATCAGTGGCATGAAGAACGCAAGCCAAAGGAAAAGATGAAAAAGTCCAAGAGCAAGGAAAAGCATGTGAAGACTAAGTTTAAAGTTCCTGAAAGCCATCCTTCTTATCCACATGCATATTAGTATAACCATGGCAGGGCACAAATTCTAAGTAAGGGTATGGTGTCATCATTGAGCCCGAGCTACCATCCACCATGATCACATAGGGTACGTCAGGCTAATGACGTTAAACAAGCGCTTGTTGGGAGGCAACCCAACGGATTTACGCTTTTATTTTATTTTGCTGCATTTAGTTTGGCTTTTCGTTTATTTTGTTTTGTTTTAGTTTTAACTTTTTATCCATGGTGATGTATATTTGATGATTTTCTAATGCTACTGCTTGTTTTTATTATTATTACGTGCTCCTTGTTTCTAATGTGTAGTCCATTGCTGAGGACAGCAAAATCCTGAATCTGGGAATGGGGAGCACTGCATATACAGTAGCAGTCAGATTTCCTTGTGAGGATGAGTAGAGCTTCAATTTTTTTCAGATAAACAGGGAACCTTCATTTAACTTCTCCTCTTAATTTTTATTTTTTATTTTTATTTTTTCCTCCTTAGTTGATTTACTGACAATAATTAGATTATGTCAATGGAGAATTAGTCAGTGAAATTAATCTATTATGTGATAACTTAGGATATATTTTATTTTTATGAATAAGCATTGATTGAGTTAGTCTAAGAGTCAGCAAGAATAATAAAATTACAGTATGAGTGTTTGAGAAAGAGCATAATTTACTGAATTGCACACCTATAGCCGTGAGGTTTTGAGCCTAAACAGAAAATCATTTTCGGTGTACACTTCAATGTTGAAAATACTTCTAGAACTTGCTTTGTTTCTCCTTGAAATGGTTGTTTACATGCATGTTTGAAATGATTGAGGCATTTTATTGTTTTAGCTACTTAGCCAAAAAGTCAACCATTATGATATCCTTTATTTAGCCCTTTAAGCCTAAACCTTTTCTTTTCTTAAAACCTGTTATTTTAATTAGCCATTCCACATACACATCTACCTTAAATAGGATTGGATTGTAGAAATTTCATGGTAGGGTGTAAACATGAGTACTTCATCATGTAATTTTAAGTGGTGAAAAAGAAGGTTAGGTGGGTTGAGCAAAAGCAAAGGTTGGAAAATGGTGAAATTGCTTATGTGCAAATAAAAGTATTGAGAAATAAAAATGAAAGAAGAAAAGTATTGGGGGTTGAAAAAGAAAAATAATTAAAGAAATAAAAGTGCTGAAAAAAATAACAAGGAGGAAAGAGGGAGAAAATGGATTGTTGTTTAAAGTGTTTACACTTTACCATGATTTTTATGTGTTCCAATACTTTAGCTAGTTTTCTTTTATTTATCATTCCTTTAGCCAAGCCCCATTACAACCGAATAAAGACATCTTGATCTTTTATGCATGTTAATTAACTGTAGAGAATGAGAATATGACCAAGCTTATGGAAGTATTGATACAACATAGAATTGATTTTATGACCAATCTTTTATGCAGCTCGCTTCAGCGAGCTCAACAGCAAGAAAAGGAAAAATGTTTGCTGAATTATTCTGTCTTTAATTAATGTTTTTTTAGTAGTGATATTATCCAATGACTTATAGAAAAATACACAATGAGTACGTGAATATTGATGGATCTAAGAATTATTACTCTTTTGTGTAAGTGAAAAAATAATTATTACTGTTGTAATGAACACAACATGCAATGTCTTGTATTTAGTTATATACTTTTTATTTTGGAAAAATTTGGCTTCAAAATTGATTATTGGTGATTCTCAATGTTTATACCCAACTTATTAAATCTGGCCGGTTACTAATCTGGTCGAAGTACTGAGTCACTGGTTCAATTGCATGATCCATTAAATATATTTAAATTTATAACTTATATTAAAAAAATACAAATATCCTTAAATATCTATAAAAAAATGATATCAATTTCAATTATTTTAATATAAAAACAATAAATTACACATCATTATCCAACAAAAGATCAATCAAACATATAATGCTTGTGATACTAGTGTTTCAGATTCAGTAGATGATATCTCTAACTACAAATCAAATCAAAATTCGTTGCATGTTGCATAATCAAGATAATAAATAATGTTGTAGGTACATAACCTACGTAACTCAGTAACCAACTGATTACTCAAATATTTCAAAAGAAAGCAAACAATTTGTGTGTGAGAGAGAAAAAAAAAGGCATCAATTGATGAGAAAAAAACTTTTATTTTTATTTTTATGAATAAGGTCAGATTATCGATTGAACCAACTGGGTCACCGATTCTTACAAAAATCGGTCGGGACACACCGAGTCGCGCCAGTTCCATTACATTACTGATCCAATATAAAAATTGAACCAATTATATAATTGATTCACTAATTTTCGAGTCGATCCGGCCGAGTGGGTCATATTTTTATAACATTGGTTTGTACTTAACTTTTATTTTTCTCATTTCGTTACTAGGTTCTAGGCATTTCTTTATTAAAAAAATGAAGAAAAAAA